ATTTATTTATTTATTTATTTATTCGTTTATTAATGTATTTATTTTTTAAATTATTATTTAATATGTATTTATTTTTTCATATTTTCATTTCTTTCTTTAATTAATTGATTAATTAATTCATTCATTTCTTCACCTTTCGGTATGAGGCATGAGAAAAAAAAATTTCAATAATGTTTTACCTGCATTTATCAAAATATAGTAATACAAGAATAAACATCATTATTTATACGTATTATATAATGTACGCCATTATGATCACTCTTCCCGTGGGAATCATAATTATTTTAATACGTTAAACACACACTTTCTTTTAAGTCTGTTAACTACAAACAGGCAGCGTGCCACGGCGGAGGCTGATAGCTTTTTCTCCTCCCACATCCGCACAATATTGTTCCCTGCCCGACGTCCAATCAACAACCTCCTGCCGAGAGCCAAACCAAACTATTCGACCAGTTCACACAACAAAGGGGAGACCAACCCAGCGAAATCAGAAAAAGAAATAATACCACGGAACGAATACAATTGTTAACAAATATGACAGCTTTTGGTGGCAAACATTCCGAAAAAAAAAAGGAAGAAAAATGGGGTTATTCACGAAAAAAATGTAGTAAAAAGAACCCCACATACACAAAAGAAAAACGAAAAACAGCCATAACCTCAAACCAACAACGTAGGAGTAATATATAAAAATCGTTGTGGATAATGCCTGCCTATTTGCAAATGCCGAAAAGGGAGCGTGATTGTAGTTTTTCAGTGGTTTTCATCGACCGACCACAGGGTTACGTTAATCTTCGTGTTCGCCTTTCCTTCACGAATGCCAACTTTTCATCGTTTCGAGTACTATCACACACGATTTGCTTAACAGCGGAGCTTTTCAGTATCTAAAAAAAATAATCTCTCCTAAACACAAGGGCAAAGAAAAGGCTAGTAAAGATCGTAGAAAGCTAAGTAGTTCTACTAATGCGTAAGCATTCTACTGCACAAAGCTGAATGGAGCAGCTGTAACTAACTCCAGAGGGAAAAAGAGATTAAGACATCGACGGAAGGCTTGCCACTTTTATGAAAAATAACCTCCCTCCAGATAGACTTAAAGCGACGGGAATTGCATTGTGAGTTGAGACCAAATTGCGTAGGATTAACTTGTAAGTGGTCTTTGAGGTCGCTTCAGCTTAGAAAAACATTATTAATTTTATCATTTCTATTTTCATTTTCATTCTCTTGGTGAACTTTGCTGGACGGATATGATGACTGCGTGGGTGGTGGCTAGATAGGACGTCTGGGATTTTCTAGGACAAGATTGCACCCCCCCCCCCTCTCTCTCTCCCCATTTTACGTTGCTCTCTAAGTATTCGTAAAACGCGGCTCAAAACTAAAATTATAGCTTAATTGGCAGAATACTGAATTTTCACGAGTAGGGGAAAGAAGTGTTTCGTGGGTGGTGGCTTGAAAGGAACTCTGGGATTTTTCTAGGGGGTCAAGATTGCCCCCGCCCCCCCAACCCCTGTTTTTGTTTGTTTATTTGTTTGTTTGTTTGTTTTCTTCTTTTTTATTTGGGCGTTTTTTAAGCCTTTCAAAAACTAAAACTGGAGTTAGGCTTATAGAACACTGAATGTTCACGAGTTGGGGGGGGGGGGGGGTGGGGAGTTTGGTGGGTGTTGTTTGACTGAAAGGAACTATGGGAGTCCCTTAAGATATCAAGATTGTTTGCCCTGCTCTAGTGCTGGGCGGCTAGGTTCCCGATTATTGAAAGCTAGGAATCGTAGGAATCGACTCCGAACCCAATTACTTACTTTCTGATAATGTGATTTTTTTTTCTCCGGTGGTTACCTGGTTGGTGCCGAACATCTTCAGGATTTAGGATAACTTTGATTTCAGAACACTACAAAGCATCAACTTCTTTTTTTTTTCAAAAATAAATTCTTTTTCAAAAAGAAGATTTTAATGATAGAAATAACTGGCAACCGTTGGTCTATGTAAAAGGAGACGGAGCTTTACTTCCTTAGTATGAATCGTAAGAATCGGTTCCGAAATCGACTCTTCGCCCAGATCTACCCTGCTCCCAGAACTCCCACCCATATTTTCCTCTCCAAAATATGTCCCTATCTATGTTGCTCTTTCCTTTTCCTGTTTTAAATATTCCGAAGAAGAAGAAGAAGAAGAAGAAGAAGAAGAAGAAGAAGAAGAAGAAGAAGAGGAAGAAGAAGAAGAAGAAAAAGAAGAAAAAGAAGAAGAAGAAGAAGAAGAAGAATATTGCTAAGTATTACGATGATTATTATCTTAATGATTATAATTTAGGTTATCTTTATTAAGATTACTGTTATTATTATTGTAATTGCTTTATTTCAGATTTTAAACAAGTTTCTGTTGGGTTTTATTTTTGTTTTTTTTTGGTCAGTATTTTGTTGTACAGTGGGGATTTGAAGAAAATGAATAATTTTGTACATGAGTTGACCAGTCTTCCCCCCCCCCCCCCCAACTTGTTGTCTTAATTTTTATCTGAAATATATACTGATGATTAGACCCCAAAAAACCCTGGCTCATACACCACATTTTGTGGTAACCTGCGACTGGCAAAAACGGGAGTTGTGTCTCTAATAATTTGGTCGAATGGCTACAACTTATACCCCTGAGTCTGGATTGTTTTGGCGTTTTCATTTGTGTTCACCAACAAGAGTTGGTCCTATCGGAGATAGATGCGGGGGCTCTCGTGGCCTAGAGGTTAAAGTGTTCGCTTCTTATTCAAAGGTCACGGGTTCGAATTCTGGTTCGACGAAAAAATGTTCTTCTCTAAAATTGTCTGCTTTCACCTCCTAATTATTCTTACACCTAGCCTTATCGGACAAGGGCGAAAAATCTCGGAGGTCCCGTGAACAAGTTGCGCACGTTAAAGATCCCTTCGTGGTTTAAAATCAATAAGAGTAGGCTTCGGCCGCCACCCGGGCAAAATTCAAAAATTTTCTACCAACTGAAAATGTTTAATGTGTCCCGCGCACTCATATGACCTTAAGCAGTCGCGAGCGCCGTAAAACACTTACACAAAAAGGGGGGGGGGGGGAGACAGACGCTTCGGTCTTTGCTTACTTTTCCCAGCCTCTGGTGGGTGGTTGGCGGGTGCTTTGGTGTGGTTTGCTCCTTCTTTCGTAGAAAAAAAATCTATCGTCCCTATCTCCCTTGCTTCTTTTTTGTATTTGTTACTCTCTTGTAACACCTCTAATCTTCGGCACTTATATGACCTTATTGTGTTGCAAGTGCCGTGAAACTCTTACAAGAATTACAAGAACCAGCCTCTGTTACCTTGAAGTGCCGAGGAGAGAAACAATAAATCATGTCGTTTTCTAGCTTGTTGTATCGCCTGCTGCATGGTTATGCTATCATTTGAGACAAAATGTTTCTCCGACCCTCTCAATATATCTAATCGTGGGCCTGCCCCTTCCTCTTTTTCCATCAGATCCCTGGTGGTAATTTTTAATTTTTGATTAAAATTTTGTTTGTTTGTTTGACCAAAGACAAGGACATCGACGCAATAATGGTCATTTAGTACTGGGGGGAAAGTAAGACCGACAGACAGACAGAAACAACTAGAGGTATTAGTAAAGAAATACGACCTACCAAAGACACACACCAATCACCCACTCTGGTTGTAAGCTCTCTAGTGAAAGTCCAAATTCTATAAATAGCCACACAGTGTGTCTAATGGCGTTAAATCCAAACCCTGCCCAAACATCTTTGTCTCTGACACGTATTCAATTTTGGGGAAATAATAACTATGTCTCTGATTTTTACATTCGGAAACAATCATAGAATTGGTGATCCGTTTCAATAGATCGGTGTAATGACTAGTAAACAACTTTCCAGCAAGTATAACAAGTTGATAAGCAAAAATGAAGAAAAAGGTAAAAATAACCACCACCACCTCCACCCCCCCTTCCCCGACGGAAAAGGGGAAAAACAGGGGGGGGGGGGGGAACGTGGATGGTAGTAAGCGTTGTAAATTACTATAGGAGTCGATACGAAATTGCGTTGGATTAACTTGTAAATGGTTATTAGGAAGGCGTCAAGATCTAATAATTTGATCTTTTAGGCCTATTATACTTGTGACCACGGGCCGATGGGTGTGATTTACTCTGTGGGTGGTTCAAAAGCAACCGTGTTACTTTAAGGAGAACGAACATTCTGCGTGTCTTTCTTTCTAATAAAATTCGCATTTAAGTTCTATGAAGTGTCATTTTTTGTATTTTGCTTTCAGCTGGTAGTGTACTGAATACCGTAGAAAGGGAAAAAATGTGTCACTAATAGGGCATAATTAGTTTTTTTCCCTCGATAATAATGAATGTTTTCAAAAGTACCTAGATCTAGTAGTAAGAGTGCAAGGATTTCAGAAGTGATTTTTGATAGGCTGTATTTGGAACGGGAAATGTGCCATAATATAATAAAAGATTTATTATATTTCACGTGTCCAGTGATTAGCAATTTGCTTGGCTGTTTTAAAGGCTAAGTTTTAATAGCTTTTCTTCGTGAGGATTCAAACACCACGGGTCATTTTTCATTTACCTCGTGGATTTTTTCTCACATTTTTTGGGTCAAAGGCAGAAGCGAAAAAAAGGAGGGGGGGGGGGGGTGATTGGCTGTGTGTAAAATAGATGGCAAGATGGTGCAGGACGGTGTTGGGGGTGGGTGAAAGGGAAGAAAATGGGGGGGGGGGGGGGTATCCGTACAATGAAGGGATAGCAAGAGGGTGAAGAAAGGGTTGTGCGTGTGGAAAGATATAAATGAGTTGGGAAGGAGATGGGGCTGGTTGTGTATGGACTGGACGGAAAAAATGTGGAACGGGTAAATGAGTGGAAAGGAAAAGGAGATGAAAAAGGGGGGGGGGGGGAGGAGTAAAAAAAAAGTACATTCACCTTCTCCATCCGAGTCAGCCTCGAAATTTTTGCCGTTTTCGCCACTGGAAAAACTAATAGCGGACGTCGTCCTTGCCACTTGTTCCGCCGTGTCATCGACGTCAATGTCCTCCTCGTCGTCATCATCGTCTTCATCTTCATCGTTATTTCTGTCGTCTTTATCCTTTCCGTCCCTGCCCTCAGCACCAGCTGCTAGAGAGGACTTGGCCATGTGCTGGTGGGGATGAGCAGCCTCTGAGAAGAGTTTGCTGTGCAGTTCTCGAGACATGACGGAGAAGTGGGCGCTTAGCTGTGGGTGAGGGTGAGGGAGATGAGGGTGGTGAGGGTGAGGGTGGAGCGGGGAGTGAGGGGACAGCAGCTCCGGCTGTCCATACTGAGCTAGTGGCCCGACTTGATGGTGAAGGGGCAGTCGGGGGGATACAGGGGGCTGAGAGCTGCTGAAGGGAAGAGGGAGTCTTCTGTGTTGTTGCTGTTGCTGCAGATGCTGTTGTTGTTGCTGTTCCCCTGTGGTTGCGGCTGTGCTCGGGGCTAGGATGTCTGTAATGAGGAATGAGGGGCGTGACGGGGTTGTGGCGGTGGCGGCCAGATTGGGGCTGGACTTTTTGGTCAGTTCCAAAGGCCTGGCGTCTTCACTGTCTCTACTGTCCGAATCGTCGAAATTCTTGTTGCTGTTATTGTTGTTATTGCTGATGTTAGCTTTGTTATTGTTGTTATTTGTGCTGCTGTTATCGTTATTATTGTTATTGATGGTGCTGTTATAGTTTGATAATAAGAAGTTTGTAGGAATGTTGTCGCAGCCACTCTTGTTGTTGTAGTTGTTGTCGAGTGGTTTGTTGTTGTGGATGACGGTGGCCGTTTGGGGAGGCATGTTTTTCGTGGATGCTCCTTGTGGCACAAGTGTGCTTTCACCTGGAGTTACAGAGTTTTGAATGACATGCACGTCTGGGAATCTTGGGACCTTTCCTGGAGTCATAAATGCAGAAGGGAAGAGGACGCTATGTGGGGGAGGAGGAAGAGAGGGAGGAGGAGGAGGAGGAGGGGGCGACGCCACACGGTTTGGAGACGAAGATGGTGACACTGATGAGGTCGAAGTGGAGGACGAGTCTTTTCTGTGGCTGGGATGGTTTAGGAAATTCGGAGTTTTATTGGTGTGGCTGACTGGCAATTGTCTTTTGGGAGATGAAGAGCAGGCGAAGGACACATCGTGGCCAATGATGTTCTGGGCAGGCAACGGCTCAGAGGTCAACAGATGCTGAGGGTATTTGTCTGATTGTCGGGGGATTTCTGAGGAGTGTTCATCTCGCGCAGACTCTTGTCTGAGATCTGCTGGAGACGTTTTGTTATTATGAAGATTTGTTCTAGTTATAGAGGGAGAATTGTGGCCTTTCAAACGATCATCAGCGATACTTTCTGATTCTTCATTCTCCTCTGTATCGTTTTCACTCTCTGGTCTCTTACCGGATGATTCTTTTACTATTCTCTGGTTTTTCCGAACTTTGCTTCCTCCTGAAACGTTAGGAGATGTTCTCCCAGTCTTCGTTTCATCCGTGCATTCATTTTCTTCTGCACTAGTTGACATATTATCAGGTCCACCATCACATGAAATTGTTTCCTTTTTTGCCTTTTTCTCTGCACGTTTTTGCCGACTTCCTGTAGAATTCTTACTTGTTTGATGTGTGGACGCCATGTTTATTCACTTTCTTTGTCTTAAAGTAATACCAGTCTTTTAACAATTCATATTAATAATATTATCTATGTTTGCCTTTCGAGCTGTTCTTCTGAAATCTACATAATCTTTCTGTTTTAAAAAGTGTGATCACTTTTCTGAACAGATATCACAATAGGTTTTCCCTTATACAAGTGGGGAAAAGATACTTTGATGTTTACACGAATCCAGGAAATGGTGTTCAGCAATAGCAAACAGAACGTTGAGTAGCAAGAGCCAGTCTTTAGTCAATGGGCTCTACGTTGGCCTCTGTCCTACTTTTCTTGATCAAGTATATCCGGTGTGCAAATGAGCTTCACTTGCAGAACAGCTTCTGAAAAAAACCCAAGCAAAACAAAACAATGAAAAACAAACCAAAACAAAGATAAAAATTATCACCATGTATACGTAAACATTATTTATAACCCCCCCCCCCCAAAAAAAAAAATTCTCAATCTGCCTCTCTGTTTATCTTCTCATTCATTAAAACAACTCTACCCATTCATAATATAATCATAACCATACGTTCATTTTGAATTTCAATAACCATTGAAGGAAAGTTTCAGATGAGATGTGTGCTTGTTTGTCTATGGGCAAGTGCAACTGAAGTAAATGTAAGGGTTTAACACCATAATCAATTCTATTAGATTATTTCAGAAGCCGTGGACCTCCAAATTTAACATCCGTCTCCGAAGCACCGAGCGAAATGAGTTTAGAGCCTTGAAATCTCCGCGCGAAGACCCAAGTTGAAAAACCCCTAGTCTGGGACTCGAGCCAGGGCCACCCGCTCCGTAGTGCAGCCTGATACCAACTGAGCGAACGGGGCTACCTAGGCATGTGTAATACTTTGTATCCAGGTCTTGTTTGATGAACTCAGAACTGTCGTGCTCTACTTACGAAATACACGCACAGTGTCAGCGTGACAGGATATTCTATTGCTGCGGCTTGTCTGCTTGGTTTCTTAAATATTCTATCATTTTATTTTGTTTTGTTTTGTTTTGTTTATTTTTGTTGTTGTTATTGTTTTTTTAAGTGCTTTACGGCGCTCTCAACAGCATATTAAAAAAAGATGTTTATCTGTTTTTGGTAAATAGAAGCACATCAACACATTATCATTAACGGTTATTGAGTACTTGGAAAAGCAAGACAGACAAAGGGAAACGGTACATTTAAAGGACAGAAGTAGGACTCCCAGTGGCGCCCTCCAACCACCTGCCATTTGTATGAGTAGTGCTTAGATTGTCTCTCTACAGGCATTGGCTTCTGCTTTACGACGTAATTATTATGCACGCCATTATATAGATATGAAAATAACATTTTGTCGAAGGATAGCAGATGTCCCAATGTTGGTTCAACATAACGTTGAGTAGCAAGAGCCAACATAAAGTACCGAAACGTTTAAAATTGACAAAATGCACGGCAGCCTGATTGCGCTTATAAGTGTCCCTGTGTTCATCTACTTGAACATTTGTCCGCTCTTGTCTCCCTTTTGTCAACAAGCAGGTCACAGGTAAAAAAAATAAATCAGTGTTCGTCTAGATCTAGATACGAATAAAGATTAGACGCATGTGTATGTCGGTTAGTTGTTGCTTTCTGAATAACATGTCGGCTTAGTTTCTGATCAAAGAAAAAGAAAAGAGGTCATTATTAGTTGTCCCGGTACATCTCCGAATATTGATACATTTGGGAAAAAATAAAGATAAGGACATTGTCTTATTGCATGTAAAAATACTTTTCCTTTGATACAAGAAAGACACCGTCATGAATGTGGACTGAAGGTCTAAGTCGAAATCTGTTGATTCCACAGTGAGGTATAATGTGCCTGCGTTCCCATTGCACTCAGAGAGCATTTTGTTTCTGCTTTGTTCTTTATTTTACCCCAACTGTTAATAATAGTTCAAGATTTAATTAATCATTTTATATTTCATTCTATGGATCGAACCTGGAAGTCGTCTACTAAAAGGAACAATTCTGAATCTACCTGGGCGTTAAACGTCAACAAAATCACGAGACCCGCCCACTCTCGCTACACTAACCCTTTTCTTTCCCACTCAGCTGTGGGTGTTTGTCATTCTGTGTCGGAGATAGCCCGCATGAGTTGTCGCTATTGTGTGGCTGCATGTCACAATGGAAACAAGAGTTGGGAGCAAAAAAGACTAAAAAGAGCACAGCGTTATGAGCGTGATGACGACAATGAGAACATGAAGGAATAATGAACTGGATGCATGATGGCGACAATGAGAACATGAAGGAATAATGAACTGGATGCATGATGACGACAATGAGAACATGAAGGAATAATGAACTGGATGCATGATGGCGGGTAGGCCGAGTTAAAAATGTCGAGCTGAACGTTATGTAGTATGAATGGGTGGATGAAAGAATTGGTGGATTGCTTGGCAGATGCGTTTATGGTTTTTATGAAGGACAGGGTGGATTATTGGAAAGACATGCAGGAGGGTGGGTAGATAGAGATATGGGTGAAAGACCTAATAAATAGAAGGGTTGAAAGAGCGGGACGTGAGTAGGGGATGTTTCTAAAACAAACAAACAAACAAACAAACAAACAAACAAACAAACAAACAAACAAACAAACACAAAACCCAACTGTCAGATGATCTTATCAGTGTAGTACATCTTCACAGATGGGTTGAGGGACGGATGGTCCAAATGGATTTACTAATCTGTTGATGGGTGATTGGATGAATAGACGGATAGGTAGATAGATAAAGAAGTTGCCGTGTTTACAACTGTGTGAGGTGTTAGCTAGTTTAAGAATAGAGAAATGTACAGATGAAGGTGCAGAGTGAACGGTAGGAGAAGAATACGGACAAAGAGCATGATGAAAGGTGTTAATGAAATTTTAAAAAAAGAAAGTAAAGAAGAAAAAAAAAAGTTACCTTCTTTCATACACCTGCCTGTGTTTTTAAAGGGGTATTTAGTTGCGAATTACGTTGACATGTGTTAATATTTTGTCTCTGAAACCACAGCAGGGAGATTTGCCCCTCAAGTAGATATCATGATACGCTTGCTCGAGCACGCTGATCACCTTTCTAACACCTCAACGCCCCCCCTCCCCCCAATCCCCTCTCCATCTCCACCTCCTCCCCACCCCCACCCCCTCTTATGCTTTCCCTGAATGATTCAATCCAACGATTCTGAAGTGGTCCCGTGTGGATTGCGCGCACATGTCATCATTAAGTGACGGCCCCTGAGCTCTCCTATCATTCAGGACTCCTTTCTTTCTCATTTAGTTTTTCTTTCGATTCTTGATTTTTGTTTTTGTTTTCAGGGAGTGGGTTTTTTTCTTTCTTTTGTTTTCTCGCGTTCTAGCCTTAATGTATCAGGTTGCCAGGCGGTCAAGAACAGCTAGGGTGTCAGATTGCACCAACTCAGTTCAAATCACAGTGTCTGACACAGACTCGTGAACAAGGTGTTCCTCATCCGCACATTATTAAGTGTGAAATTGGTGGGAAAAATGTGATGTAATGAATAGCTGACTAGTGAGAAAAATACGGCAATGAGATCTATTGATAACTCGGTTGAGCAGTTCATGATTTGTACACGTGCTAGTTATAAACTCTCATAAAACTGCACGGCTCACTGAGCAAGTAAAACCAATTAGATGCCATCAGATAATCCGACTAAAGAACCTGTGTGATGTGCCCACTATTCCGGAAAAGCCAAGTTAGATAGGGGTAAAAACGGCGAAATAAGAAATATTATACCTCACCGTGTGTAGCTGTGATCTAAACAAATACACGGGGCCACTTGGTTGGGGTCACTTAGTCTTTTCGCGGCTTTCGCCTAATCTGACTTCTCATCAAGCAGTCATGCAGAAAACGCTAGAGAGTCCAGAAAAGAGAGGGCGTGGAGAGGAAAAGAATTTTGAAGAAAAGAGAAGAAAGAAAGAGGGACTCTCTACCCCCCTCCTTCTACCCCCCCTCCCTTCTACCCCCACCCTTTCCAGCCTCAACCTAAATCGTATACTTAATACACACTTATCAAATCGTGAAGAAATTGTTGTTTAACTAAAAAGGCGCTGCATTTCAAGAGTTAAGAGTACTTCAACGTGGGGGAGAGAGGCTAAAAAATAGATAAAGCAAAACGAATATAGCGAGAGGAAAATACCATTATTGAGTTTAGGGGTGTTGGGAAAGAAGTATGCGAGGTTGCTGGGGTGCATTCTGAGAGCATTTGAGGTCTCAACACGAGCGTACATAAAGGCGGACAATGGTATCCATTACCTGCAAGTTCATAGAGCCTACGATCTTGCCATTGACACTATCCCGCGCCATACACAAAACGTTTTGAACAAAATTGTGCGTCCGTGTTCCCATAGACAGCGTTTCGGGGGTTCCCTCAGGGGGTGCCTTCCCGACCGCTGCTTTTCTTCTCTTTCGCTCTTGCTTGGGTCTACTGTTCCTAGGAATATCGACGTATCGGACAAAACCAAACATTTTGAATTTACGGATTTGTTGCACTAGCCTTTCTTATATCAATTCGTACATCAAAGGCAGGGTGAAGCATCTTCGTCCGAAAAAAAGGAAGTAAATAAAATGATAAAACTACCTCAGTGAATAATCTCAAACCCCACTGTTGATGGATGAATGACATTACTACTTTTCAGAATAAACCTGTTTAGACGCAGTCATACTTAAAAGAGGCTACGCGTAAAGATATTTTTCTTTTCTGTAAAAGTTTGTCTTCTCTTTTCATCTTTCTCAAAATTTATGAAATGTGCAGTTACGTCAATTTGGCTTTGGGCGGCAGAGTGGGGCGACAGCGAGAAGTCAAGTTTAAGGGGGTTAGTGTCGAAGAAGACGGACGTCAAATTTGTGTCAAATCACTCCCTCAGCACCAGTTTACCTTATAATCCGCCCTCGTTCTTTTGTCTGGTCTATTCTCCATCCATGTTCGTGGTCTTTGTCCTCATAGAGGCTTGTCGCTCGAGAATGTGCGAACTTGAGAACACTCGCTTGTGTGGATGCGTACAGGTTGACACAGACAGACAGGCAGACACATGGATGTACAGAAGTGTAGGAGGATGGACGGTTAAATAGACGGACGAATAAATCGACGAGCGGTCGGACGGACGGACAGATAGAGAAGTCGACGGATAAATAGACAGAAAGAGAGAAAATGAGACAAGAAGAGATAAATTAAAATAGAGAGACAGAGAAAGACAGACAAAGAAAGAGACAATGAGAAAGAGGGAGACTGGGAAAGACAGGGATAGATAGAGAGACAGAGAGAACGATCGGATTGGGATGGAAGGACAGTGTTGATAGTGAACAGGTAAGATTCAACTGAAAAGTTTCAGGAGTCAACTAT